GAAGCCCCTAAAAGTAAAGTAAAAAATAAAAATATTTAATAAAAAATTAATTAATAAATAAAAATTGATTTAAAAAAATGAAAAAGTTTTTAAAAAAAATAAAATATAAAAATTTGAAAAATTAAATATAAACATGTGTGTGTGGAGGGGAGGTGCAGGGTACAGTTCCAGTGGTTGTTTATATGATGGGGGGGGCGAAAAAAAATTCTGCCCCGGGCGCCCAGAACTCTGGTTACGCCACTGCATACACGCAATAGGTTGAACTTGATGGACCTGTGTCTTCATTCAACCTCAAATACTATGTAACTATTCTCAACACCTAAATGGGTCGTGGAAAATCATTTTTTTTTGCTTGATTTGCTCATACATAAAGTCCAAAAAGACTTAAATGTTGCTAATGTGCAATTCAACCTTTTGCTCTATTCAAACACAGAATCTGGTCTCAGTGTCAGCAAAGTGACACAATTCTAGCAAGCAATCTGGTAACACAAATTCCTAATTATTTTCTCTTTCATTCCATCCCTTCCCCAGCTCAGAACATCAGTGTTTGTTACAAATGGTGTTCCCACAACCTAACTTAAGGTACAATTAAACCTTTGGTTTTTTTTGTTTTGCATATATAGTATCTACTGTGAGCAAGCAGAAGATATATGCAAAACATTAAAAAAAAAGTTACCAAAAAGGTTATTACTTACCTCTGTCTCCACTGATCGCTCACATCCTAATGTCCATCATGGGGCGAGTGCATGCGCACTACAGATCTTCGGCAGGGAGAAGAGGAGAGACACAGTGGAGCTGAATGCACGCAGCTGTGAGCATGCATGTCGGACAATGTGGGACAGAAAGAGACAGGAGTCTGCGGTGGATCAGAGACCGGCACCAGCACTGGAGTGGAAGGAAGAAGATGATTGGATCAAGAGGCAGCATTTAAGGTAAGTCCTTAAAGCAGCATGGGGGGAGGAAAATATTTGTGACTTTAATGTCACTTTAATAAAACTGGACACTAAAATGTAAACTTAATTGCAATTTGATGCATGGACAGGGAGTAAATGGTGGCCTTAAAACTTTAACCAGTATCTTCTCACCTGAGTCCTTTACAGAAGTATGTCTACTAAAGACAAAGATACAATTTAGAGTTAGTTAAAATAAATGCTAACCCCCCTTACCATTATTTTTTACATGTTTTGGCAAGTCTTCATTAGACAAATGACCTCCTTCATGATCTCCTTTCCGACTTAAACGTTGGCCAACCATGGTCACATGGGTATAAAACTGATCTCCGGTGACTTTGTGGTCTAGTGCAAGAGAGCGCAATGTGACCTTTTTCCTGTAGGATTATAAGAGAGTATGTGAGTAATAATTATATTAACGTGTATCCCTTAAGGAAATCTATAGTGTTTTGTGTCTATTTTCTTTTTATTGAGTTCAGTAATAAAAAAAAATATTATGCAAAAATAAAATGCTGTACAATAATATTTAATACTAAAATATTATGCAAAAATAAAATGCTGTACAATAATATTTAATACTACTTGCAGCTACTGTAGCTCTAAACAACTCTTAGACAGCAGCTGAAGAAGTCTCAGGAGGAACACACCACCTTCTCAATGACTAGCAATGACAACAGGAGCCTAAAGGTGGCCATACACTGCAAATTTCAGCCAGTTCTTGATGAACAGGACGAAATTTGCACACTGGGCTTAGCTAATTGAAGGAGCCGGTTGGAAAATCTTCCTACGAACAAAGACGGCAACCAATGCAATACAAATAAATCAGAAGGGATTCCTTGATCAACACTCTTGTAGCCTTGATGGGGGAATCTGCTCATTTCTTTTTTTATCCAGCCCATGTGATGAGCGAAAAAAATAGAGCAGTGTATGGCCAACTTAACTAGTTGATTGACAAAGTCTGCCAGAAAGTATGGATGAGTTTTCTTTTAAGAGACACTAGCATGCTCTGAAAGCTCAGTGTCATATATGGAAACAAACCCACACATATTTATACAGTACATATATTAATCTCATATAGTCACTTTCAGGCTCCTGCAGCCATATAAACTTACTTATAAGTGGTTTCTTCAGGTGATGGGATAGATTCCTTTGGCCAGTTGATGAGACAATTGAGAAAAATCAGGCAAGCTAAAGCGGACCAACCCAACATAATCCCCACGAAGGAGATACCTGCCTCGTATATAAGCTGCAGAAAGAATGGTATAAGAAAGCAGTTATTTTACATAAAGAATGAAAACAGAGAGCCCACACATTTTGAATTGAGATATACTATATCTCCTCTATAGCAGTGGTGGCGAACCTTGGCACTCCAGCTGTTCCAAAACTACAAATCCCAACATGCATCTGCCTCTGGGAGTTATATTTGTGGCTGTCGGAGCCTTGCAATGCCTCATGGGACTTGTAGTTCCAAAACAGCTGGAGTGCCAAGGTTCGCCACCACTGCTCTATAGAATAACTAAAACTGCTGTTTTGTGTACCTCTTCCTGTAGACCACATACTGTGTACTAATAACGCGACTGTAAAAAACAATTGTACTACAAACACTTCTAGAGGGAATGATTTAAGGACTATTTCGTAGAATTTGATCAGGCTAATGGTATAGTTAGTGATAATCAGCATGGGTTTAGGAAAGACCGTTCCTGTCAGACTAACCTACTGACTTTTTACGAGGGGGTAAGTAGAGATCTGGATGGAGGGAGGTCGGTGGATGTGGTATATCTGGATTTCGCTAAGGCTTTTGATACGGTACCTCATAAACGCTTACTACACAAGCTAAGAGCTATGGGCATAGATGGAAGGGTGTGTACATGGATAGAGAACTGGCTAAAGGAACGGGTACAGAGAGTATCAATAAATGACGCCCTTTCAGACTGGGCTAGTGTCATTAGCGGTGTGCCTCAGGGTTCTGTGCTGGGACCCATGCTTTTCAACCTGTTTATTAACGACATCGGGGACGGAATAAACAGCGAAATCTCAGTGTTTGCTGACGATACCAAAATTGGGAGGGTAATAGAAACAAACCAAGATAGTATAACATTACAAGAGGACCTGGATAGACTAGGGGAGTGGGCAACTTTATGGCAGATGAGGTTTAATGTTGATAAATGCAAAGTTATGCACTTTGGGAACCTTGATCAACACTCTTGTAGCCTTGATGGGGGAATCTGCTCATTTCTTTTTTTATCCAGCCCATGTGATGAGCGAAAAAAATAGAGCAGTGTATGGCCAACTTAACTAGTTGATTGACAAAGTCTGCCAGAAAGTATGGATGAGTTTTCTTTTAAGAGACACTAGCATGCTCTGAAAGCTCAGTGTCATATATGGAAACAAACCCACACATATTTATACAGTACATATATTAATCTCATATAGTCACTTTCAGGCTCCTGCAGCCATATAAACTTACTTATAAGTGGTTTCTTCAGGTGATGGGATAGATTCCTTTGGCCAGTTGATGAGACAATTGAGAAAAATCAGGCAAGCTAAAGCGGACCAACCCAACATAATCCCCACGAAGGAGATACCTGCCTCGTATATAAGCTGCAGAAAGAATGGTATAAGAAAGCAGTTATTTTACATAAAGAATGAAAACAGAGAGCCCACACATTTTGAATTGAGATATACTATATCTCCTCTATAGCAGTGGTGGCGAACCTTGGCACTCCAGCTGTTCCAAAACTACAAATCCCAACATGCATCTGCCTCTGGGAGTTATATTTGTGGCTGTCGGAGCCTTGCAATGCCTCATGGGACTTGTAGTTCCAAAACAGCTGGAGTGCCAAGGTTCGCCACCACTGCTCTATAGAATAACTAAAACTGCTGTTTTGTGTACCTCTTCCTGTAGACCACATACTGTGTACTAATAACGCGACTGTAAAAAACAATTGTACTACAAACACTTCTAGAGGGAATGATTTAAGGACTATTTCGTAGAATTTGATCAGGCTAATGGTATAGTTAGTGATAATCAGCATGGGTTTAGGAAAGACCGTTCCTGTCAGACTAACCTACTGACTTTTTACGAGGGGGTAAGTAGAGATCTGGATGGAGGGAGGTCGGTGGATGTGGTATATCTGGATTTCGCTAAGGCTTTTGATACGGTACCTCATAAACGCTTACTACACAAGCTAAGAGCTATGGGCATAGATGGAAGGGTGTGTACATGGATAGAGAACTGGCTAAAGGAACGGGTACAGAGAGTATCAATAAATGACGCCCTTTCAGACTGGGCTAGTGTCATTAGCGGTGTGCCTCAGGGTTCTGTGCTGGGACCCATGCTTTTCAACCTGTTTATTAACGACATCGGGGACGGAATAAACAGCGAAATCTCAGTGTTTGCTGACGATACCAAAATTGGGAGGGTAATAGAAACAAACCAAGATAGTATAACATTACAAGAGGACCTGGATAGACTAGGGGAGTGGGCAACTTTATGGCAGATGAGGTTTAATGTTGATAAATGCAAAGTTATGCACTTTGGGATAAAAAACAAGCAAATGGGTTATACAATAATGGGTATGCCGCTAGGGAAGTCTGAAATGGAGAAAGATTTGGGGGTCATTGTAGACCATAAACTCAATAATAGATTACAATGCCAGGTTGCGGTAAGCAAAGCTAGTAGAGTCCTGTCCTGCATCAAGAAGGGAATGTTTTGCAGGGATAAGTCTATAATTTTGCCACTTTACACATCACTGGTTCGGCCTCACCTGGAGTATGCGGTGCAGTTTTGGGCACCGGTACACAGAGGGGATGTCCTTGAACTGGAGAAAGTCCAGCGAAGGGCGACCAAACTCATCAAAGGGATGGAGGACCAGAGCTATGAGACACGGTTACTAAATTTAAATATGTTCACGCTGGAACTAAGGAGATTAAGGGGGGACATGATTTTCATGTACAAAATGTTCTATAGTCATAGCAACATTAGCAACAAACTCTTTACGACTAATTACGTAACAAAGACTAGAGGCCACCACCTGAAACTGGTAGAAAAAAAATTCAAACACAAGGGGCGGAGGGGGTTCTTCTCAGTTCGAGCGGTTAGGGTCTGGAACTCGCTGCCTCAAGCAGTAATTTCAGCTAATAGTGTGGAATCATTCAAGAAGCTTTTGGATGATTTCCTGAGAAATGGTAATATACAGGGGTACATGTACTCCTAATAACGAGGTGACTCAGGGATCTATACACACACACACACACACACACACACACACACTAGGTTGGACTTGATGGACATGTGTCTTTATTCAACCTCAAATACTATGTAACTATGTAACTATGTAACTTCTGGACCTATTGTGACCATATTTATCAATTATATTTTTGTCTCTTGTTACCTTCTGGCTTTTGTCCTTTGTGCCGAAATTTTCAAAATCCATCTGAACACAACAGATGATTGAATGGTTATACGCAAGTCTCTGTACAGTTGTCTAAGAGACAAGGAGCGCTTATCCAGAGACACTAAATTAACCCTTTTCCTCAAATGTGAGGTTACAATTGGCTATACTCAACAATCCATAACTAAATGTAAGCTACTAAAAAGGAACTTGGTTCTGACCCTAGAGAGGGCTCAGGCCACAGTAGCTATAAAGGATCGGAGTAGCCAAAATAAATATTCAATTTTAGATACTTTTAATCAATACAAAATTATTGCACATGAATAAAACCAAATAGCACCTTACCCCCACCCTTAAACAATTCTAAAACCATAGTCTGACAAAGATGTCTAACTCACACACATCACTCACTCTTTCGGGCAGGCTGATAATATTGATAGTTAATTTCCGGTGGAGCTCAGAGGAAAATGAATAGATCCAGTCAGGGCTCAAAATTTCCACTCGCCCCCTCGCAATTCGCGAGTGAAAATTGCGTGGGGGCGAGTGGAAATCCAGGGGGGGAGGGACCAGTGTATTACTTTCTTAAGTGCACTGTGAAGTATCGCTTCATGAAGACAGGACAGTTCATTATCGAACAGAATACAAAATCAAATAATTAATCTCTAAGATTATTACATATATGAAATAATCTGCTTCTTTAAGTATGTAGTTTTGACCCTGAATAACATGCTCTATTGAGAGACTGAGCGGTATGAGAGATAGCCCGGAGCTATATGAATGAATTCTCACTGTTCTCACGGGTTCATTATCAAGTCCTCAAGTATGCTCAGACAAATGATTTTGTGTATAAATAAATGTAATGAACTGTTCGTTAAAGTGCGCTATATAATGTAATTGCAAAGTAGCTGATCATAATCCAATACAGTTTAAACCCAGGAGGTAAGTCTATTAGATAGTTCCATTGAAGAAATGATCTCGTTGCTTTTAATAAATGATTTTGATAAAAAGTAGCAGTTTATACTAGAAAGCAGAAACGCATACAGAAACAGCCCGGGACCATTTGAAACGGTACTCACAATTATGGTTCTCACAGGTTTGCAGCTAGATCCCCAAGTGCACTGAATCACTGTCGGTTTTATCCAAATTGCAGCTCCCTTTTAACACAAGATTATCGTATCGCTGCACAACTTAATTGCTCCTTTGCTTTCGTTGTGGACAGGCCAGATACACACTTAGGGGTCTATTCACGAAGCTGCCGAAGGATCTGGCCGTAGCTTCGGCAGATCCTTCAGCTAGCTTCGGTCCCAGGACCCCTTCGTTCAGTAGAACCAAAGGGGTGCTGTACGGGCTATTCACAATAATTCTGTGAGAAAGTCATGAATGAACAGGAAGTGATGTAAAGCACTCCCTGTTCATTCATAACTGGGAACACATAGTACTATGTGTCCCCAGTTATTTACAAACACTGGAGTAATCAGCTGATCGCTCCAGTGTTTGTCTTGTACAGAGGATCGGTACATATCACTGATATGTACCGATCCTCCTCCGCTCGGCCACGCACACAGGGGGGCTCACCCTGCAGCTTCTCCTCTGGATCCGCGGAGAAGTGAAGGAAGCACTTCAGCCTCGGGGGGAGCGATGGAGGGAGTCGCTGTCGCAGCAGCATGAACGGGCGGTGAGGAGAGAGAGAGAGCGGCCGGCTGTCAGATCCTGGCCGAGCATCTCTCCCTCTCTCCTCACTGCTTGGCCATGCTGCTGTGATAGTGGCTCCGTCCTTCGCCCCCCCCCCCCCCATGGATCTACCAGTGATCGCTTTGCGATCGACTGGTAGATCGTGATCGATCTAATGGGCACCCCTGCTTTATAACTACTGTGGCCTGAGCCCTCTCTAGGGTCAGAACCAAGTTCCTTTTTAGTAGTCTATACAGTTGTCCACAGCTTCTCAAGTGCAGAATGTGGCATATACTGCACATACCCAACAAATTCAAGATTTGGAAGGATATCAGACTCTCACAATAAGACCTTCTGGCTCCTATATCACCACTATCTGTAAAAAGCTAAAATGGCTAAATGTAGAATATAGTGAGATCAAGTTACTTTGTAAAAAACAGCACTTAATAGTGTAGCTTTACTTGTGCAGTCTATCATTTTTCATTTCAATAAACATACTGGGGGAATTTATCAAAACTGGAGCAGACAAAATCTGGAGCAGTTGCCCATGGCAACCAATCAGCTTCTTTGTTCAGTTACGATTTCAAAATGAAACAGAAGCTGAGTTGTTGCCATGCACAGCTGCTACAGATTTTGTCTGCTCCAGTTTTGATAAATTCCATGCACTGTATATTAGGAAAGGGAATAACTGACTCCATTCACATCAAGCGTCCAGAATGTAGAGAACTTACTTTGAGGGCTGGAAATGTTATGGCAGAAGATGCATAAGATCCAATCATTAGAGACATCATGGTGGAACGGAGGTTGCCAAACATATTTGGTAGCTGCAAAAGATAATTTTAAAATGTATTCCTCAAATATAAAAGATAGTGTCTAATATTTATTTGACAACTCTTCCATCTCCACCCCCTTACAAGGAACACGTGGACAGTCACCTACAGTAGACAGGCAACGTGTCAGTTGTTACAATACATGAGTAAAAAATGGACAATCATTACATTATGTGGACAGTTAAAGCCAACTGTAACACTAAATGAGTAATCATGACAATATGTGGGCAACAGATGGGCACTTGTGGCAATTTACTAGTAACTCCCTCAACACCAGTTCAGCCCCTAAGCACAAATTACTACCGCATCTCTCCACCCAAAGAAAAAATTCCCCCTTTCTCCCCTCATCAAAAATATTACCTTTCCCTCCCTCCAGCAAAAAAATCTACCCCATCACCCAGAAAAAATATCCATCAAAATGCTTACCAGACCTTAGATAAGAAGCAGAATGAGCGTAAGTCCTCCCAGGATTCCTCTTAGCTTTGTATCATGTTACATGTCAGAGCCAAGGAGGTTCCTGGAAGAGCTTCCCTCTGTATCAGAAGTCTATAGAGGGCAGGAATGTTATCATGGCAACACAACCTGTGGCTTTGCATGGACCCTGCATAGTGATAATATGCAGAGAGGTGGAAGATCCAGTCCAGAGAACCCCCAGCTGGCTGTCCCTAAGGTGGATCCCTACCCCCTAGTTATGCCACTGATTCCTACAGATCTGCATTATATAACAATTGTGTTATCATGTTGCTTTATTAAACTCAATTCATATACAACAAAATTCCAAAGCTGCAAAACAACCACTTTCACATGGCATAGCACAAGCCTTCACCAGATTCCACATCAAACAAAACCAGTATGTTAATAGCTAGATCACTACAATGGCTATTCTGCTCATCTGAGTCTGACCCTGTAGGCAAACTCTGATTTTGTCCTCCTTGACCCCTTTTTACCTGGGAAACTCTTAAATTGGTTGCAAATGCTAACACCACTAAAAACACCCTCGATAGGTGACCTATATTAGGCCACCCAGGGTTCTCACCAGAAGAGGATACACAGACAATATCTTCAGGGCATGAAGGGATAGCAGCCTAATTCATGCAAATACAATTATTTTAATGTGGACATAAATAATTTTCTTCATGTAAAGGTGTCATTTAGTAAGTATCAAGGGATTAGCTTAGGTAGTATAGGACCTCCTTGGTGATTTCCAAAATATTATCTCACACTAATGAAAAGTGCTTGTGTTGCCAATCAAAAATAAGAATCCTCTTCAAAATAATGTGAGAATGTCTACTAGTGACCTAGTTCTGCCATGACTGGCTGGAAGTTATTGGCTTACCTACCTGCCATATGAAAATTGGCCACAAGATGGTGCTGAAGAGAAACATCTCTATTTACAGTGGCACAGACTCTTTTCTATGGTAAACTCCCAGGAAATAGGGCATTCTGGGAATTCAGCCTCCATCTTAGAACAGAGGAGATAATCCAATGTCTACTAGTGACCAATGTCTACTAGTGGCCGCTCCTGCTGATCAAACACGTCTGAAGGAAAATGCCGAAATCCCTCTGCAGCAGCATCGCTGGCATGGATGGAGTTGTTTTGCTTTATATTTGTAAGCTGACATTATATTTACATGTTTATAGGCTGATTTTGTGTTCATGTCCTTTTTCACCAGTTTCACCCACCCTGTTTTGTTAAGGAACCTTCAAGATTTCACACAATTTAGTTTATTGTAGAATAGGGGGGTTTAGCTGCATGTTGAGCTATACAGGTAGGGTTGCCACCTGTCCAGGATTGACCAGAACAGTACGGGTTTAGAAGGCTGTGCCAGAGTTTATATAGCACCTGAGACCCAGACACAACATGTCAGGCAGACAGGGGCATCCAATATTCAGAAATGTCTGTCTCCTCTGCAGGAGCCATTTTGTGTTAGTCCCCTCCACAGAGCTGCGTGCAGTTTGATATTTGGCAAAATGGCCGCTCCTGCTTATCTTATAGGGAAACTGGAGACATTGACCTAAAAAAATATATATATATATTGTATATATTATAATATATTGTTGCAGCCGATCATGAAGAGAACCCAGTTTCCTGTCATACACCTTTCGGGACTTCTAGTCAGTCCTAGATCTTACTCCTTGTCCTCCAAAGCCAATGTAGTGCAGGTGAGCTGAACAGACTGCGCTTTGGAACCTGGGGTAGCAGACAGTGGGAATTTTCTGGAGCCAAAGGTTGGTAACCTGTGTGTTGTGGTGCCTGACAAACACTATGTGCAGTTGCTAGTAAGAGCTGTGTTTATGTGTAGTTAGTGCCGGGATACAGCTGTTTTTTTTTTAAATTTTGGAGTTTTTGGTTTTATTCAAGCACTGAATATAACCTGTGTAAAGCATCGATAAAACTCATCACTCTTTAAAGTAAAGTCAGTGGACTGGACTCTGTGTTTCTCAAGATTGCTCACTGTAGAATATAATTTTTTATGTCATACTCTTTTTATCTTGCAAAATAGGGTGGAAGAAGTTCAAAAGAGAAAATTGCTTCCGTTCTCGCATACAACTCAAAAATTTGTTTAATTACAAAGTTACAAATGATTTACAAGATAAATGGCATGAAACAAAATATAAAAATAGTTATGAAAGTGTATAAGTATGTTGTTTTAAAAGTTTAGAGTATTTGTGTGTGTGTCTGCATCATGTCCGTGTGTAAGTGTGCCTCTCTCCCAGTGGGGGAGTCTGAGTGTCCTGTCCTTATGTCCATCTTCTACTTTAAAATAACCTATGATATGTTTACCTTAAAAAGTCGTTCAAATTAGCATATTGAAATTCTATTTTCACTACATATTAGCATAATGAAGTTCCATACTCTGTAAATGGATATTACAATAGTCCTGAGTCATGTATATTCCTTCAACTACTCTTTGCATCCTTCAATCCACTTTAAAAGGGCACAAGTCTACTCTATGAACATACCTAACAGCTGTTCAAACTATACTTAGGGTCTGCCTATCAGGCTTACTGATTTAATTACCATTTGTAATTCAAAATCATTAGTACAGTTAAACTGCATTTCCACACTTGGACAGATTAAAATCTAGAAAATCAATCATCATTTATCATACATACATACTCCCTATATGAATATTATGGTTTTTACAATTCTCTCTGAAAATGATTGATTAATTTGAATTTCAATCATTTTTCCTATTTATTTTATACTAATTTTCATTAATTCATATATCAGTCATGTCAGAAGCGTATCACAGATATTCAAAAGCCATAAAATGATTGATTTGCATATTTCATCCTTGATCCAGTATTAGGAACAATAAGCCTGGCAAGACTTGTCTTATCTGTATTTGTCTTATTTTCCTTAAACTCTATCAAATAATACAGTCCCTTGAAATCTTCATTATTAAATATAAAAACACTTTGTTTAGTGGATCCTTACATAAATAGATATTTCAAATTTTCCCAAAAATAGTATGTAACATTAAATATTAATTTTCTTGTTTACTCTACTCAAGTCTAAATATGTATGACAGGACAGTGCCGCGTCACTATGGTGATTGCTGTGTTTGGCGCCCAGGACTCTCAGCCAGAGGGGCTGAGAGGGTCCAGAAAACATATAGTGTTACAGGGAAGGAGCTGGGTGTCCAGTTCTTTCTGGCTTTTTTGGAATATAACTGGGATCTGGGTCTCTGGGGATTTCTAAGAGTCTTGGGGCGGGATGAAATCTCCAGTCCAGGGGCCAGGTGCAGCCAATTGCCAGGCCAGACTGTCCAGGTGGCTGATAACAGCCCTATTAAGAGACTGGACAGATAGGAAGAGGCAGTCAGGGGTGCAGCTTGCAGAGAGTGGGAGACTGTGTCCATGCTGGAGTCTGGCTGGAGAGGCCAAGAGGGCCTGTGGCACACGCGGTGTGTGGGCATGGCTAGGAGGGTCTGTGGCACACAAGGTGTGTTTCAAAAGGTCGGGAGGACCATCATCACGAAGCTGCTGGGTGTCTGGCCATGAGCAGGCTGAGGCTCTAACCCTGGGGGGGGGGGGAGTTGTGAGGAGAGAGTGATCAGCTGTGGCTGATGTATGAACAACCTGCTGTATTGCTGAAAAACTTTGGGACTCTGTACAACAAACTGGTGAGACACAGCTTTATGTTACCTTATTTGTGCTGAAGATATAGACTTTTGCCTTAAGTTATGTTGAAGATAAGCTTACGTTTGTTTAAACACCCTCTGTGCGAGTGCTCTGTGGGCTCCCCAACGTCACAATGACTTTTTCTTAAACTTGTGTTCATTTGTGTCAAATTATCCTAAACATACACTTTATAATGTAAAGCGTGCCTTAAATATGTCTGTAAATGTACCTTAAAATATTTTATCCTTAAACTAAAATAATTCATGGCAATACTGTTTCGATACAGTTATTGTTCCTAACAACATCATGTGTGATTATAAATGTGAAAAATGAATCCTTATAAAATGTGCGTATGAAAAATTTAATTGTGTAATACACTATTTAGTCATCAGTTAAGTTCAGTAACAAAAGTCAATAATTCTTTTCTTCATAGGATGGTCTTCTTTAATAATTCTGTAATGTTATGAAAACTTGAAAATATAGCCATTGCTATAATAAACAAAACTTTGACTGCCAAATATTCTTCCAGAAAAGGCTCTTCTTCTGATCTTCAGAATCTCTTTCATCTGAAAGCATCTAGAAGCATCATGTTATCTTGTAACATTGACTTGTAAGTAATTTCCTGTAAAAGAAATGCAATATCATTACTTAGATAATAACTTAAATAATTTTCATTAGCTAATATGTAACTGCATTTATCTATTACTATGCATACTTTAAATCAATTACATCATCTTCATACCTTTTATTCCTTATATGGTGCAAATAATTTCATTTGAACATACTGCTTATGAATTCTAAAAAAACTGTGAGAACACTCCTATTTATATTCTCCTTCATGTACTATGATGGAATGTTCAACTATT